TATTTTATGAGGTTCACGACACTCCACTCAGTGGTCATCTCGGTCGTGAGAAGATCTATAGCTCAGTAAGTTGCCACAATTGGTGACCTAAGCTTTACAAATGGACGAGCACATATATGCGCACTTGTGAGACGTGTCAAAGGGTGGAACCCTCTCCAAATGCGTCGACGCATGCCAGGTTACCGGTACCCTTTGGGTGATGGCAGGTCATGAGTATGGACTTGGTGTTTGGCCTGCTGTAGGACTCACGGGTGTGGTGGTCTTTGTTAACCGTTTGAGCAAGATGGTTCATCTTGCGGCAGTGGCGGACGCCATCGACGTTGTGGATACAGCGACGCTGTTTGTCTATCTTGTCTTTCCACAGCATAAATCCCAAGAGTCGATTATCTCTTATAGAGACCCGCGCTTCACTGGGATGTTTTTGGCTACAATCTTCAGGGTGCTGGGCACCAAATTGAATATTTCAACAGCAGACCATCCGCAGACCGATGACCAAAACATGCGCGTGAATCGCGTCGTTGAAGACGTTCTTCGCAGCGTCTGCGCAGATACGCCGAAGCGCTGGAGCGTAAGGCTGTCCCTAGTAGAGTTTGCTCTGTACAATGCAGTGAATTCATCTACCGGCTACATGCCGTTCTACGAGAACATTCTTGTCATTTATTCTGTTCTGCTGACACCGCCATCCAATGGCTCAGAGCTTGATGTGGGAGGATAGCCGAAAAGCTGGCTGATGTCATCCCCCTTACTGTCCGTATAGAAGTCGATGACGTCCTGTCTACCAAAATGAGTATCCTACGACACGTTCGCGATGCGATGGCTGACAGCCAAGACATGCAGAAAGAATACGCAGACGGAAGGAGAAAAAGAGATATTGAAAACTTTGAGGTCGGAGACCTGGTTTTATGAAATGCTAAAACCATTCCTACATTTGCAGTCTCTGCTGTCTTTAAGACAAAGCTCCGTGCATGGCTTACTGAATTCTTAAGGTCTTGGCCAGGCCTTGCGTATACTCTGAACCTTCCGAGAAGGATACGCACCCACCCGGTGTTTTATGTGGGTTTGTTTAAGCCGCATCGAGAACCGGCGCAAGTGAACGCGGAAGAGTTGTCGCCGGGGCAGGACCCAAGGAGCTCGTCCACCCAGAAGATGAGCCAGCAGTTGGATCTGAGCACGGAGAGCAACAATTTCTGTTTCCAACGGCGCAAGGCGCTCCATCGTCGCACGAAGCAACGTATACGTCTACTCGACGGCTAGTAGCCAATCCGACAGAGCGCGATAGTCCTCAACGTGAGGCAGTCGTTGCACAAAGTGCTCCAAGCTCTCGAGGATTTCCGCGCAGAGGTAGGCAGCCTCCGAAATATGCTTGGCAGAATGCCGATGACGGCGGACTTTGCCTTCCAAATCTCGAAGGGTATCGCGAGTCACCGAGCAGTGATCGACCAAGTCGTCATCTTTCGCCGCCGACTCTTCTCGAGGAGAATGGTGGCGTTCACTATCACGCGAAACGTCTTGTGGGTCGACGTCGTCGACAGGATTGAACTCAATATCTTGTGAAGTGGCGTGGATCCGAAAATTCGCCCATATGTTGTGGACGCTTATGACCAGAAGGATCGTGACTCCTCGACGGTAGCCCGGATGTCCAAAGGGCTACGAGCTGAGCTCAAGCTATGACCCTGAGCTTCTGTGGTCGTAGACTCGTCCGTGTGATATACCACAGAGCTCGCAGAAGCGTGATGGATGATTCTATGTGTCGCAGGGCGACAATAGGTAGGAAGTCGGCGCTGCGCCTTATGTCTGGCAAAATCAACTAGGAGATGGCGTTCAATGCGCTCGCTCACTTACTAAGGCTCTGCTGTAAGTGAGACAGCGAGTAAAGCTTCCGGTGCCGCTGCAACTTCTAGCTCAGAGCTCCTCCTATCTGTAGCAGTTTAGCCAGGGGCGAGCACCACAAGAATAGTTCGCATTGCGGGTACAGGAACCTCTTTTATTGAGCTTGAAATCGAGCGCGGTACCTAATCATTGGAATTTCTTGAGGTACCACGAAGCAAGTTCGGATAGCTTTCCGCTCGTCAAGCTCAGCTTGTGTAGTGTACGGGGGCTTGACCACTTAGACGCCCAATGATCGAGTGATCTCATCTCTCGCATCAGTAGCGGGATCCGCCGAGCGGAAGCCATATTTCACACGAGGGTCTACGACCGAACGTGGATACGAGCGCATCAGAGCTGCCTTGTGGGCAGTTTAAACTGCTACTCGTGTACCTCGTTGAGGCGATTTGTAATAATACCACTTCACCCGGAAGTCGAGAGATCGGAGAACGGACACGGCGTTCGCAAGGCTCGAGCAAGGTTTACTTCGCGGGACTGGCACACCTCGCCTTACTCGCTATCCCATGCTGGGAAGAGAGTATCCGACTCGTAGTCGACTTTTCTCAAATTCTTGACGAGAAAATCCTTCGCCCGTGGTGAGCGCGGTGTGTGGTGCCCGCCATCCAAGGGCGAGCATACTGTTCGGTGATGCACCCCGTGTAAAAACGAAGAAGGGCTCAGCCCGCGGGCCCTCGGAACCAGTTAGGCTAATGTTTTTAGTGTTATAGACACAGTGGTAATTGAGCGGAGAATGTCTAAAGACGGTCTAAGATACGTAACGGTGCCTCAGACACGCAAGCCTCGTGTCTACATAATGCGAATTGTGCGTATTTACAATTTTGATGGGGGGAGTGTAACGGGGTTACTCATACCCAGAGTGTAAAGTCACTCGTACCTTTGTATGAATGGGTGGGTTACACAAGATTTTGTGACGGTACAAAGGTGTGGATTACACAAGTCAGTGTAAGCACACAATGGTATGGCTACACCGCAATAAGAAGCCACTACGTGGCAGGAGTGCTAGTAGTAACGCATATTAATTGGGTATTACCATATTAATTAGGTATTACTGTATCAATTAGTTAATCATATATTAATCAGAAAAACCTAAGGTTATAGATATTGGCGGCTCTGCCGCAGATAAAACAATTAATTACAGTTTCAATTCTAAACAGAAGTTTATGTACGCTGGCTAAGATATTAAGAAATCTTGAAGGCTGCGAATAGCGATCCACTGCACTAGTACTGGTTTTCTGGAAAGACGCAAGGTCGGTGACCTTAGCTTAGCTTCCTTAAAGCAAGGAACTACGGCAGGTCCGCCGCACAAAGAGCGTAGCTTGCTCACAAAAGTCAAGCTGACTCTTGCCCAGATCATCAAGCAGTGATCACGGTTCGAACCGTCTGCAGTTGCTCGCCGCGCTGATGCAAGGCTTTTACACACCAACGTTTGCTTGTGTCAGAGCAAAACAAGCGCATGAACCCTGTTCCGTGAGCAATCTTTCTCCTATCCAAAAAACATCATATCTCGTGGTCCAACTATGCAAAGAGCGGCAGTGAATGGGCAACCCTGCACTTACCCTGATAATTGTATCTTTGAATACTTGACGATGGCAAGGGTGCCGATGAGTGTCAAACTCAGTCTTCACACAGGGTGCGAAAAACAATACGTCGCACCCGTCGAAAAGCTCAACAAGCTGGCTTCAGCACAGCAGACGTCGTTCTATAGCATCCACTCTTGCTTGACCTCGCGGAGTACAAAGCATTACGCGAGCGTCGAAATAACAGTTCATCACCTCCAATTTTCCAAACCAAGCTCTTCGATAGCAGACACCGACTAAGCTACCGACTAAGAATCATACTCACACCAGGTCAGTTTCTACTCACTAGTGAAAAGCGGCAACCCTGCCTAAGGATAGAAAAGCCGAAATTGCACTGGACCGTAAAAGCCACGGACCCAGGGCAATCTTGACAAAAAACCTCAATCTTATCTGAGTTTTCACTTGACCGTATCCCTGTATACAACAGGCACCGAAAACACCGTTTTCGTGAATGTGGATCACTCCTTCCTCATTGAGCAAGGCCGGCAGAGAACGATCCTTCCGTGACTGGCTTCGTGAGCTCTCTCAATTGCAGCAGCACATCGACTTTAATCTAAAGACTTGGCTTGGCTGGAACCAGTTTTTGAATGCGCCATCCATACATAGTAGCACACAGGGTGGATCAATGCACTATCAGCATATCAGATCTCTATCGCTGCTCTAAAGCAGAGAATCGCTCAGCTACATGAGGTGGTTAAGACACTACTTCGTCTCCAACAGACTGATGTATCCGCTTGGACTGGCTCGTAAATCGAGAATGCGATATGGCTTACATATGTTCGAATATCAACTTGAGACGCCGCAGAAGTTAATTGAGCTAAAACTTCAAATTTTGTTTGGGAGCGCAGTCGGATCAAATCAAATGTAGATATTGGAAGACAACATCCCTCACTCATTCTAGAGTGACTTTGCGGCGTTGTCAAAGGCACACGAGGGTTTATCAAACCGTTGTAATACAGTGGTGTACAACCGGTTGAGACATGTACTGCGTGATTCAGCACAAATATACACTCAATTAGTGAAAGCATGCGCTCATTTGACGCGGCCTGCTCGCGCTCTTTTAACGCAGCCTGTTCGCGCTCCATTAACGCTGCCTGCTCGCGCTAGTGCGTCAGAGCATATCCCTCACCACGAGGATTTGCGCTTGGCTAACCATCTTTTCGTGCATGATTAGTAAATGACGTATCCGATCTAAATGCTTACTATTTTATATAATATTTGCAAGAGCTTTACTGTTAGCAAGATTATAATTCAAATATAATTGCGACCAACAATCTATGGTGAAAAAACTCGTTGCTGAAGAACAGCTTGGCTACTCCTCTCCACTCGCAGTATCGCCGGATGAGCTATCTAACTGTAAAGACCAC